TGTCAGTTGCATGCAGGGTCACTTGTCGAGCAAAAGGGCAAAAAGCAATGACGACGTGTCACAGCGGGCGTTGCCTAGCAATCTATATGACATTTGTAGCACATGGTTTCAAGCCCTGGTGCATTGACGGGCATAGGATGACTGCATTTCCGATAATCGTCCGTCCGTGACAGGACTAGCCTCCCGAGTTTTACTGGAAACTCGTCTCCAGCAATGCCGGCTTGCGATCTTCAAGATCCAAAAGCATCTGCCCATAAAGCCCGTTCGCCCACGAGAACCATTGCCTTGACCAATCACTCGCGTTGAACGAGTTTACGCTTTCATGAATGAGGCCCAACCCGTCAGTGCTGCTAACGATTTGCCTCAACTCGTTCACAATCTCAGCATCGTCATTACTCGTTAGGATTCGTACAATGGATGCCATAGGCCACGCCTTACCCAATCCTACATGTGGTCCGCCAATTGCGTTGATAACAGGCCCCCTCATGTAATAGGGGTTTGTTGCGCTGAGAACCAAGTTGCGCGTGTTGGCGTACGTCTCGTTATTGACCGGGTACTTGTAAAAGGGCGCAGAGAGAAGGCCCGGAATGTTGGCGTCGTCCATGATGGTGCGTCCGCCATACCCGTCAACCTCAAACGCGTAGATTTTGCCGAAAGTCGGATGATCAACTGTCGCATGCTTTTCAATGCTATTGCGCAGTGACTCTGAGAGTGCAGACATTCTCTGCGCAAGCGCTTTGGTGTTGGTGCCATTCAACTTTCCCATAATCTCAGCAGTCGGCGCCAGGAATGAGCTAAACATCATGTTGGCAGGAATAAAGAGTTGGTAGATGGTAGAATCGTCACTAGGCCTGAATCCACTTCGAATCAAGCCTGTACCATTGGCGACTGGATTTCCGATTCCATAGTTGGAAAACGTCTCGGTAGCTAGTACGTTTGAGCGCTGAAATGTATATGGGCTATCCAAAACAGCTCCGTCCGCACCATATGTAGGGAGCGTCATATCATCTGCTACGTTGAGAACGGCTTCAACAGCCTGTGCCCACTTGAATTTCCCAAAGAACTCAACGTCTCTTGTTGCCTGGTAGTAATCGGCGGATATCTGCAAGAACGCCGCGAGCGAGTCCAGCTCATACTTGCATTCGAATACACTCTGGTTAGAGTATGTAGGGTGGACCTGATCTGTATTCGCGTAGTCGTTGGTGGCTGGAGGGATACCGCTTTCGGTGGGTGCCTGAAATGAGTTGCAATATGGAGATGTGAGCAGGTACCGCGCCTGCAAGTTGATGACACCGCGGTATAGACTTGCAATGGAATTGGCATCGCTACTCGCGTTCAGCAGTGGCAGGTAGCTCTGCATCTGATTCGATGAGTCGCGTAACCACATTGCATTGATGTCTCCAGTAATGACAAAAGTCAATTCTTCTTCTGCATTATCAGCAGCATATCCCTTCCATTTGATGGCCGTGTCGAGCGTATTGGGATATGCATTCTGGAAAAGGCGGTATAGATCCGGATCCTTGATGACGTCCTTCATGCGGGTGATGAGGTCTTCAAGGCCTTGGGATTTGAAGGTGCGGCACTCTTCTGACGGCCGTTGGTAGGCAAGACGGTACTTGCCTGAGCTTAGCGGCTCATGTACCACTTTCGCGTAGTCGCTGTATTCTGGGCATTGTGCTGAGACTAGCAAAGGCACGCTGGAAAGCACACCGAGTAGCACTTTGTTGCGCATGTTGCAGTCAGGTAGCAAGATGGACCTGCAGTATTGAGGAAAGGGAATGTAGAGCGAAGGTGCAACGAAGAGCAAGCGGGAGCTCCAAGCCGTACAATGGCCTACAAGCACTTACATATGTATGTAGTACTACATAACCAACTGGCCATGGTTACGTTACCTGTGCTCTTTTCGCCGTAATGCATTCCGAATCGGCCCTATCCCCGCTCACGGATGGCTGTGGTAACCTCTGTTCACGGTAGCATGGCTGATGTGAGCCTCACCGAACTATTCCAAGCACTCATGTACTTTGGCCACGCCGACGTCACTCCGCTGACGATCCGGATCAAAAAGTGCCAGCCGATAGTCGGAGATTGTACAAATGAAGAAGGTCAAAGACTATCGGTGGCCAGCAATTAGTGCATAGGACTAGTCAGATGACTAGATGCGGGGAAGTCTTGGTGCTTTTGGTTGCCATGGCTGGGGTTGAGAGTGGGACGATCAGCGGGGGCGGTAGGCATGCCTGTTCTGGGCACGATAGTAACTACATCTACTGTAGTGGTAGTAGGCATAAGTTTTGTATGCAGAGACGTTAGAAATGATGATGAGGCTCTTCTTCGAATAAACTCCATTACTGATTATTACAGAGAAATACTAGTTACTGGTGGCCCATATACATAATTCTGGCCTACCACCTCAGTACTACAGCAGCGATGTAACTCAAGATTGGCGGGGAACATACAATAACCTCTTGCTTTTCCAAACGGGCTTACAGTGTTCGGAAAGGAGCTCTGCCTCTGGATACCCAAGTATTCGGTAGTTGAAAAGAAGACATAACCGTAAGGCGTTAGCGTGAGGGGTGATCCTGGGCAACCTCCCAACAACGTTTTTGATTTCATTAGCAGCCTTTCTAGATAGCTCAAGCTATGCAGTACTATTCCTCTCCGTCCAGCAACTATCCGCCAGCCTATACCAGCCCAGCGGCCAGACCCAAAGAAAAAACAAGGCTGGGGGTTGGACAACAGTGCAAAAGCCGTAGTAGATGGGTCCCAGCTATGTCATAACCCCCCGTCGGAGCAACTCCGGCTGCAAGTCTCGAGAGAAGAAAAAAAAGCATTGACATGTCCATGTCCGGGAGACTTTTGTGGGACTAGGCGAAATGATAGGGCAGAAAAAATTTTCTAACCAACATACCGGTATATGTGCAAATCAGGTACGGAGGATCCACTTCCAGTGCGACATGGCGGCGCAAAGAGATGACCCGAATAGTGTAACCAAGGCCGGCCCGGTTGCGAAAAACTGCCGGAGACGTGGTGGAACGTGTAGTCTCCACGCAATGATTCCGCACATTGGTGTTGCCTCTTGTTATATAGTACACGGGAGGGATCCGTTCAGATATTGGTGTTTCCTTTTTGATTTTATCTTTTTTTTTTCGCCAAAAGCAGACGATCATCTTCTTCCTTGGCAAGCGAGATTTGGTAAATGCTGGTATACGCGACCATCTTCTAACGCGTTGTTCGGTAACTCCTAATTGCACTACAGGCACGTCTTGGTGCATGTCGCAACAATTACAATATCTCGATCATCTGTAGTGTATCTATGTGTTAGGCTACTTGGGGTAAGAAAGATGTAGTTAATCTGTAGGGTCTTGCGTTCTACATGTGTAATGCTTATTATTTTAGTCCCATGTTGGAAGTATCTGCGATGCGGTGGACCATGCAGCATGTCGTCTAACGTGACTAGTTGTCGGTGTTTACCCAAGAGACTTTAGGAGATGCGGGTCATTGTAATGCACTTCACCATGCTAGTAGTAGCCAAGGCCAGGAACGTCGTATAGTTTGATGACTTACAAGGGAACATCACAACAGCAGCATGATCACAAGGAAAGAAAAATCCGACCTGGATTACATGGCCCGTTGGTATAATCGGGCTGAAGCTGGAACTCCTACAACACTCAGTCGCGGCTTCTATAAACTACCTCATCCCCACTTCATGGTCCGTCGCTGGAAGTTGAGCGCCCGTATCTGTGTTCGGGTAAGCTTTCCCCCCTAGGACCTAGACACTATCGTAACCGCTCGTGAAGACCTTAATCACATTGGTCGGCAGCACCGCACTTGCGCCTCTGCAGCTGATACTCGGACAGTGCGAAACGCAGAGCGAACCCGCAGACTCGATGCAGATTCTTGTATCGAGTCCGTACTACCTCTTATCCATACTGGAAGGGTGCGTATATGCACCGAAAACTTCTCGAAATAATTACATTCCGTGCGCCTTGGGGTCGTAGCATCGTGCATTCTTGATCGTATTTGAATGTTTAGCCAATATGGCTACTACGGTGGCATCTAGTGATGGCATCGTATCTTATCTGACTGCATCAATGTGCAGAAAGTTGCTTTGTTTGTGCATCATCCATAAGTGGTGTTGCTGGCGCTACTAGGGTCAGCGTCGGGACATGGTGAGGGGTGAAAGTGGACAGGGCTTACCTTGGACTCATGGGTGCATGGGCATGTTGTTGTTGTGAATAGTTTACGCCCTTCATCATTCCCAATTGGGGAAGCCTGGACCAGTTGCGCTCTCTGACTTCGCGCATGTAGGCGTCTTGCTCGGGCGAGCGATTGTAAAGAGAGGCCTCTGAATCAGGGTCTTTGCCATAGAATCGGAAAATGGCAAAGCCGCAGCATACAAGGCCACCGGCTCCGAGAATGACGAGGAAAATGATGAGAGCGGGAGCGAGGTTGAAACCCATGTTGTCTCTCTTTTGGAGGACCACGGAGGGTGGGGCGAATGGAGGCATGATGATGGTTGTGGTGTAGTGCAAGTGGGCTAGTGTAATAGCGGGGTACAGCAGATGGCAAATAGTCGATGGTCGGGGCTGAGGGAGCGATTGAAGTTATGACGAGGAGAGGGCAGTGAGTGAATGAAAAAGAGAGTGTTTGGATGAAAGATGTTTTGTGAATGGCGAGGGCCTGGTAGAGCGGAAGTGCCGGAAGATGCTGGAGGGTGCGAATGGACGAAAGAGAGGGAGCCAATCGTATTATGCTTACGATTACCGAACACGATGATGAGGTGATGTGGCCAACGTCACACCAAGCCAGCAAGAGCAATAGAGAAGAGCCGTGGGGAGGGTGGGAAGAATGGATGCCTTGGCGCAAGCCGCTTTGGGTGCCTTGGTGTAGCTATATACTCGAGTCCGCCGTGCGCGCTGACGGCTGCGCCCACCTGCCTGCTTGATCTCTTGTCTTGTCGATGCCGCAAGCTTTTCTTGCCAAACCGCCGTACGTCGTATGTAATGGGTTGCGTCGGCCTCGAAGCCTTAGGTCTTGTCGATCGTCTCCCATTGGCTGGGCCTGGGTTTCGCCCGCCGCAACTGGCTTATCCTTCCCCACCCGGTCGACGTCGAGCTGCGTCGTCCGAAGCTGTTGGCGTCCCAAGAACGCGTAATTCACCCACCCTCCTTCACCCCAGCCCGGCCTACTATGGAAGATACAAATAAGACTTGCACGGTGCAAAACAGTCCCAAACGGCCATCACGCCCAGCCTATGGCACCCTCGGCCGAGGCGCAGTCTGCCTTAACCATCCGGCATCCCTTCTGTTGTTGCGCCTTGCGAGCCCTGCGGATTGCTCCGTCTCACCCTCTCCTTTCTTTTCCCAAGGTCCGCCTGCTCCCATTGCTGCTGATTGGGCTCGCCGGTGGTTTTGTTGTTCGTCCGCCTCAGTGGCCTTCTTGGGTCCGCCCTGGCATGACGCGTCATCCCCACCATGTTTTCCACACTTTCCGAGCTTCAAAAATAGCTGCTGGCCACCACCAGCATAAACATTCTCGAATCCCATTCTTGACCGCGCATACCAGCCATCACTCCACTCCCCGGCCTCCAAAATGACGATGCGACAGCAAATGACGCAACCAATTGCCCGTGACACACCCGATGCGCGTCGTTCGTCGATCGCGGGTATCGGTCAGCACTCACCCGCGCGGTCCTAGCGCGTTCACATGCAGCTTATTCTCTGCCTGTCCCGTCGTTGTGCTTTCCATCAACGTCCAAGTATCTAGTAGTAGCCGCGTCCTAGGCGTTGCGACATGACGCGATATCATATGACCCCCACAACGTGTCTTTGCGACATGACGCGATATCATATGACCCCCACAACGCGTCTTTGCGGTACCGAGAAGCGCGATGCTTTTGTGCAGGTACTAGCTGTTGGGCACACTGGATCCATGGCCCTGCACAACCCTTCTCTTATCGCAGCGCCAATTCCAGCACATGGTGCAGCTGCTGAGACCAAACTTCTTCAACCTTGACTTTGCCTATGCAAGACTGTTATTCGCCCACTCAGTACATGATACCCTTGGCGCCGAACAAGAATATGTCCGTTCATACATGCACATGTATGTACGCAGTAGGTCCGTCGTTTCAGGGCTGATAAAGAGCACATGCGGAAGCTACTCGTTGTGCGGATCCAAAGACTGTGTACTGAACATAGGGACAATTGGGAGCTCAATCGCCCTAATCACCCATCCAAATCAGCGACACCTTTGTAGTAAATACTTGGCCAACAACCACGTAATCATATTTCGGTTTTCCCTATTCGTGATCCTTGCCTATACCAAGAGAGCCAAATGTGGATACCAACGTTTGACAAGACGACCTTACTACGGCGCGTTCCGGGCTCCTGAACTTAATCTGTAGCATTTCGTGTTACAAGGCAGCCACCCAATCAGCGCACAAGGCTTACCCAGTGGAGCAGAGGACAACGCTGAAAGCTTCTCAAAACTTCTCAAAAAGCCTTTGAAAGCGTTGGCGGCATGCAACCTGCGATGTTCTTAACCTGCGAAATTCCCAGGCAACATAACTACCCAACGCCGGACACATGCATCTACCACAACTACCCTCAGACACACCAAATTATACGAGAACTTACTTTCTAGATAATGCTGCAATCAAATGTCAGTGTTTTGAATCATGAACCTAGAGTTCATGATAACCTTCTTCAAGTCCGACGCTACCAGAAATTCGTCGAACGCAGTGTGCCATTTCGGGCAGAAGGTGCCTGACGTCAAGATTTCCTATTTGATATCCTCCCCAATTTGTTTGCCTTGGTTGTTTCGACCATCTGCAGGCTCAGACTCATGGCACCTTGGTGTTGTACGAATGTGGTTGAAGTTCGGTTGAGCGGTCCGCGCCTCTAATCTATTCAAATTAACCTCTACAAGGATCCACACCCTATCGGACATAACGTGCTAGCACGAAAGCCATTCAAGATCATCATGCTAATGCTGCGAGTAATACCTTCCAAGCTCGTGGATTAGAAAGTTAGTGCATGTCGGGTAACGGTAGTGCAACAGCTGACTGCCGTGCATCGGCTGTTGACATCAGAGATGGCTGTCTGCAATTGTACTGAAAGCGATGTGTTGCGATTGTTGACCACCAGCGCGACCGTTGGCTACCGGCTTGGCCGTAAGTCTACCGAGACCGATTGTAAATTCATGCGGCCATGATCCTTCCGTTAATGGCCCGAAAGAGATTCCACTGTTTGAACTTATGGGAATGGCATGTTCCACAATAGACTCAATGAGGCTGGCATATGGCTGGTGACCTTGCGAGTAGGCGCCACGCCCCTAGCCGAGAATATATTGCCTAACACCAACGTGTAGGAGAATATTGCACCAGCGATATTAATCCTGGCCCCATTTTTACACACCTGGCCTATCACATCGACAGAACCCAGTCACAGGACTGGAATCTCAACGTTCAGTCACGTTCTAAGAGCGTGGCGACAGGGGGTGACCTTTCCACAATCGGATGGTCCACAATTCAGAAGCCGGGGAGACAGGTGCTTCGAAATGAATCTTTTGATTGCAAGGCGTACGGAAAACCTGGTCGAAGGTAGGCGGAGGCGTTGAAAGAATGACGCTAGAAGAATGGCGACGAGTATATGAAGAAGAAGGAATCCAGCCTCAAGGTCTTGCTCAACAGGACTTCTCAGCAACAGCCTCTTTACTTCCACTCTCTTCTCTACATTGTTTGAAACGATCGTTTTCACTCCACCTTCTCAAACACCACCATCATGCTCTCCCTCCTCGTTCTTCTTGCGCCCCTTGTGGCAGCCCACGGTCACGTTGACAAAGTCATCGCTGATGGCAAGGAATACCAGGGCTGGAACGCTGCTCTCAAGTACCAGAACCCCATTCCTGCCACTGTTGGCTGGCAGGCCGACAACCTCGACAACGGCTTCGTCTCTCCCGATGCCTTTGCTACCTCTGCCATTGTCTGCCACAAGCAGGGCAAGAGCAACGGTGCCTATGTAACCGTCAAGCCAGGCAGCAAGGTCACTTTCAAGTGGGATACCTGGCCCGTCAGCCACGTCGGTCCCGTCCAAGAGTACATTGCTCCTTGCAACGGCGACTGCGGTTCCGTCAACCCTTCCAGCCTTCAGTGGACCAAGATTTCATCCAAGGCATGGAAGTCGGGCAGCAACCCCGGCAAGTGGGCTACCGATGACCTGATCGCCAACAACTTCTCCTGGGACATTACCTTCCCTAACGTTGCTCCCGGCAACTACGTCGTTCGCCACGAGATCATCGCGCTGCACGCCGCCGGCCAGACCAACGGTGCCCAAGCATACCCCCAGTGCGTCAACTTCAAGGTTGAGGGCTCTGGAACCGCAAAGCTCAGCGGTGGCACTCCCGCTACCAGCTTCTACACTGTAAGATCAATATGCCCTTCACCCGATTGACATACCAGAGCACTGCTAACATAAGTTAATAGGCCAACGACCCTGGTATCAAGTTCAACGTCTTCACCTCCTTCTCCAGCTACCCTGCCCCCGGCCCTGCCGTCAAGGCTCTGACCAAGAGGCACGCCAAGGACCTCGAGTACTAGAGCACCTCCATGCAGTGCAGGGAAGAAAACAAACTACTGCACAACCTGCGTCGCGAGTTGATGAAGGGCAAGCCGGATAAAGTCACCGTAGCGTGGAACTATCCCAATCGCTTAATCCTCCGTGGAGAAACTCCCCCAGTCTTTGTCTTCACCAATTTTTTTTACAAGACAAGGACTATTTGTAAATAACGAACATTTTTTTGGCGGAAAGAGAGAAACGACCATTCTTGTATATACTAGTTAAGTTTTTTTTTGTAAAGCACAAGCATAAAATAAACCACACCATTTGCATGTTTGCATCAGATTTTCACCTTTTCCCCTTTTTACCCGAAACAACTTAACACAGCATTTAAGACAGGCGTCACGCAAAATGGCATGACTGCAGAGTTTTGACACGCCCGAAGCACGATTTGCGAGCAAGGAAAATCCAGNNCCCCCCCCCCCCCCCCAATACGCGTTACAAGAGCACCAGAAGAATATGAAACACAGACACGCCTCCACCCTCCCGATTCCGCGATTCCGCGATTCCGCGCATGTGCTTTGGCTCGGGGCAAAAGTTTCTTTTCTGTCTTTTGCTTCCAGCATCTTCGATCGATCGCTTTGGCGCTAAGCCGTCATGCCCTGGTAGTAAGTACGTTGTGTTCTAGACGTGTCCACTAGTAGTCAAATGTAAAACTTCTCCCCTCCTCCCCCCCATCTTCTCCACTTTTCTAACCCGCTGTATACGTACGTACTTGCAGCTACTGTTTTGGAGTCCTTTTATTCTTTTTTCTCTCTCTCCACTTTCGTTTTTGCTTGCTTTTTTTTGCCGCGATCTTGTATATATCCTTGTGCTTAGTATAGTGGTGATATACGCGCGACGGGTGTGCGACGATGGATCCCTTGTGGAAGGGCGTATGTGAGCATGTGTGCATATGCGTGTGCGCGGTTTTCTTGGCTGCGGGGTGCAGGGTGAGTCTGGATCTGGATGGCTCTTGTGTGATGGTGGTGGTGCGGTATGCTGGTTGGTAATTGGTTAGTGGCTCTGGGTCGAGTGCATGTCTCTGAACTCTGGGGGTTGGATTCATCTGCCGGTGGAACAATAAGAGAAGTGTTATAGAAGTATGCCGCATAGGCTAAGCTAGCTTCTTTTGTCCGCTCCTCTTGTTGTCTGTCTTGGTGAAGATGCAGCTGTTGTATGATTATTCTTCATGTTATATAGACTGCTCATATATTGTTGATCGTATTTTTGTCTGCTGACGCCCCTGGCATGCTTACAAATTCATAGGCTTCTTAGAAAGCACATCTCATATCTATGTGCTCGTTCACACTGGGTATGCTACCCTCTCATTCATGAGCAGTTTTTTGACATCGCACTGCTTTCGCTAATGTTTTTATTTCTTATATAGCACTTTGTGGTTAATACACGTGACCTCTTCTGAAGAAGGGCATATACAATAAAGGGATATACAAGAGATCTTCTAGTCATGTGACCGTCATGTTCGGCGGAGCGCCACGGAAGCCTCTGGGCTTACATGCTTAAAGGCGCCTAGAAGCGGATGCTCTAGAGTAGTAGGTAGTCGAGTCCTTTTGAATGCGGCAAGAAGAGCCTGCGAGACATATCTGTTCTTCCACAGTTTGTTCGGTTTTAGGTTCTACTCTTCGAACTTTGTCTTTACTATGCACTTGTTTTTTGCTGATAAAACTTGCTTGTCCCTTCTTCTCTTGTACCGTGTAAGTTTTAATACTTGGTTAGTCTTTCATAGCTTATCTGTTCTATCATACAATGTGTCCATTTGACGATCCGTGGAACCTTCTTTGCGATGCGGCAATCCTGCGAACACAGGTTCCAGCTTGTGGCGTTCTGGGGTTCTCGACACGTGGCCCGTGCACGCTTACTCAAGCAAAGCCAAGGTGACCTTTGCTATCCCTCGTCACAACACGCCTCTCTCACTACACGCCCAATCCAAGCCGCACGACACACGACACCACTATGACTTCGTCCATTTTCTACAAATTCAAAAACTCTAGGGACAGCGAGCGCATAATCTTCAATGGCACCGATCTGAGCGTCTTCGAACTGAAGAAGGAGATCATCAGCGCGAGCGGCCTGGGCGATGGAACCGACTTCAACCTCCACATCTTCCCGCAAGATGATCCAGCTTCAGAATACAAGGACGATACTACACTGATACCACGATCCTCCACCGTCATCGCGATACGGCGACCTGCTCCCAAAGGACAGGGCAGGGCAGCACGCTATGTCACAGGCAAGGCGCCGTCACGCGCAATCACTACACAAACCAAGCCTGCGGCCCCTCTACCTCAAGCGAACAACGCAACACCAGAAGATGCCGAGGCAGCTTTCCTGGCAGAATCCGCCATGGCTTGGGATGCCCAGAAAGAGGCTCTTTCACACGCGAAGCCGGTCTATCGCAAGAACAACACCAAGAATGTAGTCGTCCCGTCGCACCCACCGCCACCAGGTTACGTCTGCCGTCGCTGCAACATCAAAGGCCACTGGATACAGGCCTGCCCCACCAACGACGACCCCGACTTTAAACCCGCTTTCCAAGCCAAGCGCACGACTGGTATACCACAGTCCTTCCTGAAGAAGGTTGAGAAGCCTGTCGACGAGGAAGCTGCGAAGGGCATCATGCTCAACGCTGATGGAGAATATGTACAGGTCATGACAGACACAAAGGCATGGGATAAATTTCAAGAGAAGACAAATGCATCACGTGCGCGCGCAGCGAGTGCTGATGCCGCCAGCAAGGAGCTCCGCGAACGCGGACTCGAATGTCCAATCGACAACCAGAGATTTGTGGACCCTGTCAAGACTCCATGTTGTGGTAAGACATACTGCCGCGAGTGCATCGACAACGCGCTTGCAGATGGTGATTTAGTTTGCCCCAACTGTGCAAAGGAGGATGTTTTGATGGATGATCTTATTGCCGACGATGATATGGTCAAGTCTCTCAAGGCATACGACGCAGAGAAGGCAGCAGAGAAGGAGAAGGCAGCAAAGGCAGCAGTTGCTTCAACAAATGAATCAGTTTCTCAATCCCATGCTACTGACAACGCTAATTCTCCCGTCGCAAATGACACTACAAATACTACTAGTGCTACTAGTGCTTCTGTTGCGGCAGTGGCGGACGAGGTCTCCGATACTGACTCTACTTCTTCTAAAAAGCGCAAAGAGCCACCGACAGATATCAAGCCACCAACCGCACCAAAAGCAATGCGTCAAGCAGCCGACCCCGCGTCGAAGATGGAGCAGGAATTTATTCAGCAAATGGAAATGCTCAAAAATGCGCCAATGGAACCAATGGGCATGCCAATGAACATGCCGATGCCTATGCCGATGCAGATGCCAATGCCCATGCAGATGCCAAACCAAATGGGCTTCCAAAATGGCTACCAGATGGGTTTTCCACCGCAACACCAACAGCAAGGGCCACAACAAGGGTGGTTTCCCCAGCAGAACTTTGGGTATGGTCAACAGCAGCAGTATGGTCAGCAGTTTGGCCAGCAACAGCAGTATGGATGGGGCGGAGGACAAATGCAAGGGCAATGGGGCGGTGCACAGGGACAACAGGATAATGATGCATATGATAGGCAACCAGTTAATCCTCGAGGTCGCAATCGCAGATCTCGTGCTCCAGATTATCGCTACCTGTGAGCGTTTTCTTGGTATCATGCAGTGTTTTTGTGGACATTCATCAATTGGGAATGCTGGGCCTTGCATACCCCTTTCCGTTACATATACTTTACTTAGGGTGGGGGGAAATGGCGGATCTTCATGGTATTGGGGGAGGTGATCGTTGTCTTTTGGCGTTTGGTGGGCCACTATTATCCAACACTATTGTCACTGGGCTCGGACAGCTCATGTGCTTGAGTGAATGACTTTGTTGTTATTCGTAACACGGACTATGAATCAACGCTTACTCGGATTACTGTATATAAATTGCTGTCTGCAAAGGAATTAGAGGTGTTTTTATGATAATCCGTTGCGTGTGATTACTAAATATGTGCAATGTGAGATAAGGCAAGATGACCGTTCTGTTTGCGGCAACGGAAGCTATTTGTTTTTGACGGGAGTCCAATAGGATCATCGTATCTCCGAAATCATCTTCGCAGCTTTGGTAGAACAAACGAAAAATCAAATCTGGACGTTGCTAGTGACCGGGTTATGGCAACGCGTGGGGCCGAACCTACGGAAAGGGCGGGTGAGACTAAAAGAGGAAGTGGAATTCCGGGTTTATCAACGAGCGACCTGAAATCTTCGAAAAGTCCGACACATAATAAGTTAACAAGAAATCTTCACACCTTCTGTCTTTCTTATTACTTGTTCACAATATATCTATTCTTGACTATAGAGTTGTTGCATTGGGTAGCAAGAAATCCTTGTCGCGCGCAAGAAAATTAACTTTTCCTCGGACTCAAATGGCCCTGAACATCATTTTGATTATCTCTTCCCAAACTAGGCACCTACACACACATCTTCAGTGTTCATGTGGATGACAAGAAATATATATTACCGTAGTGAGCAGCCAATCACAAACGGATGCAACCCCTCCATCTCCGCAGCCTCGCGACTAGCACTGCCACTATCTGACATACATTTCGTATTTCACGTATAACTATGTATCATATCGCTTCGATCAGCCTTTCCTTCTCTCGTGCCGTGAACTCAGAGTAGCTATATAAAAGTGAAAGTAGCTTTAGAAACATTCAACCCTCAAGCCTTCCAACTCCGACACCAAATGGCGGAAGCAACGCCGTTTGTACGACCATATGACGCATCCCGTGACTTCCAGCATGGCATGCACGTAGTACGTATACATTCATCACAACCAAATCACCCGTTGGCATGTGCTAACCACACTCCTCCCAGTATCTCTCAACCATCGACTCAGTTCTCGACTGGGAACCCGCACGTACCATAGGTTCGCACCTATGGTACAGGCCCTATGTCGCTCTGACACCAGAAACATGTTTCGTGCTTGACGACGGCAACGGGCGCGTAGTTGGGTACTGCATCGGCACAGCAGACACACTGTCTTTTGCGCAGCGCTGGCGCGAAGAGTTTGCTCCAAGTGTAGACCGCACGCTTGTTCCTCCTCCTGATGTACACATCGGTGGCGACGATGATGCTGCGTCACTCATGGAAAAAGAGGATATTAGGCATTTTCGGAAAGCGGTGTATGAGGCTGATTGTAGTATGCTGCAGCCGTGGCCGGAGACTTTACGGCGGTATCCGGCGCATATTCATATTGATATCTTGAAAGAATATCAGAGGAAGGGGTGGGGGACTGTGCTGATGAAGAGGTTCCTTGATAAAGCTAGGGAGTTGGGGGCGAGCGGGGTGCATTTGGATATGGTGCAGGCGAATGTAAAGGCTCGGGCGTTTTACGAAAGTATTGGGTTTAAGCTTTGCCAGCAGGTATTGGACGGAGGAGAGAGTGGTGGTCCTGGTGTGAATGGTATTGTGGTGACTTTGGTCAAAGATCTTTAATGTCGAAGGGTGTAATGGAATGCTGTTGATGAAGCATACCTCGTACCATTTTCATTCTCCACAATTACTGTCAATATCCTTGTTGGCAATATTATTCAATGGTACATGATGAGCTGGATGCAGGTGATGTCCTCCGACAGCAAGGTAACAGCACCTCATAAGCAACGTGGTTAACGACGCATCGCTGCCCATCTATTATATTAACCTCAGGATGAAATGCCCGCATTTTCTCTATTCTCACATCACATATTCTTTCCGTCTCTGAGCGAACATCATTTCCACATATACATACCTCCGCACCATATGCAAAGCAGCCTGAATAGGCACCACCTCCTTCAAAATGACTACATACACTCAACAACAAACACCATCATCTATTAATACTCTGTACACTGGCCCTGCACAAGGACAGACCTCAAATCCAGCAAAGCAGTACACTGCTCTTCCTCCAAGCTCAACAAGCAAGAAAACTTACCCAACCATTTTCACACTCCCCCACATTGGCCGGGAACTACATCCACAAGAACTCCTTGACGCACGAAACTTGACAAGAGCTGAATCTTCTACCACCAAGAACAACAACTACAGTCTCTACACTAACGATTCTACAGCAACCAGCACCTCGACCAACACAAACCCTGAATACAGCATCTCCACCCTCCTCCAGAAACTAACCACATTTCTTACAAACTTCTTCCTCCGCTCCCACACCAACAAGAATCCCTCTGCAGCCACCGCTTCCAATACCCCAGGCAGTCCCCAGAACCACCCCCACGAACCTACCTTCCCCCCCTTCCTCCTCCCCTACACCCCCGCACCCTCCTCTTACCCCTCTTCTTCCTTCTCCTCCGGCACCGAAAGCGACAAGGAACCCACTCGCGAGAAACAGAAACAAAAGCAAAAGCAAAAAAGGTGCTGGGTAGGTCGCCCCCGAGGCGCGATTTTACGACCAAGAGATCGATATTATGCACGGGGACTATGCGATAAGCACGGTAGTGAAGGGTTTTGGAGAATATGCGGATTCATCATGGAGCGAAAGGGGTGGAGGTGTGGGTGAAATGCGAGGATATGATGTGTGGATGTACGGTGGTAGATGATAGGGTTGAGAGAAGTGAATGGGAAACGAAGAAAGAGGTGGGAATACTTAAAAAGGTGAATAGGGAAAATTACTATGTTCAATATCTGAGTGGTATTAATTCTATGACTTCTTTGCTTGTGCCGAATAATGTGTACACCATGGACAAAACCGGTAATGTGCTCTTTACCCTTAGCTGTATTGTAGTCCTTGTAAGCAAGAATAACCAACAGGACTACAGAGGTATTAGCATAAAACGCACAATGCTCAGTACCATTGAATGCGTGTCAGCAAGCGGTGAACATTCGCATCCAATAACCATCTAACCAGCGTACGGTGAGTAAATTGGGTCGTAGGAATTCAGATCTTATGTAAGCCCACCTCTACTCCTACCTGTAGGTCTCAGTAACCCTATGTCTACCTCTACCCACGCCCTATGCGACCACTGCCATACTTTTCCCTCTACTACTTACACATCGTGCTAAGCTAACCTACCTATCTACTAGCATACCTAGGCCAGCAATCTCCCCAACCAGACCAAGCAAAAAAACGGACTTTCCAGTAAGAGAGAAGAGATTGCAAAAGCTCGGGCTAGCAAAATAAACATTCGGTTTGCCTAAAGAGGAGAAAAAAAGGGGCAATATCAGCACTAGATAGTGCGTTATTTTATTATGTAAGCGCTAGCCGATTGAATGATACAACGTTTAGTGAAAGTACTAGTGTATAAAGAAGCTTTTACTCTTATTAGAGCTGAAGAAGTCTTTGATTCCAGTTGCCGGTTGGCTATAGTAAACACCATGTTCCTAGCAGTACCTTCAAATCAAATGTCAGCGCATAACGCTACGTTCAAACAGTTTAAACAATACAGAAAATACTTTTCCTTGTTAGAGGGTATGTATCGACGGTAGTATATAAGTTGGTTCAGCAACAAAAAAGTACAGAATAGAGATTAAAAAGACATATAGCTTAATAAACTCACTCAAGTACAGAAACGAAACAGCAGGTATGCAGATACAAAGTCCCAGTAAAGTCCGAGTGAAGGGCGGCGCTAGCCACCGCTATACGGGTTACAGTACTTACTGCAAGTAAGCTTAGGGCCAGTTAAAATACGGGAAAGAGGAAAGGGTGTGTGTGTACGGTCTACTCTGTGGTCTCTCTCACTTACTAACTAGACCATGCCCATGCTTTATTTCCGTGACTACAATTGGAAAGCATATCCACCTGGTGAGTTCGGGGCTGAGTAAATTCAATACGAACGATCCGGACGAGACTTCCTTCTGGGCTTTCTAGGGCTTGTTGGTATAAGAACTACTTGATCATGTTACATAGATTCCTATAAAGCGTTCGTCCTACAACACATCTTTTCCATCAAAACTTCAAAGACTCTGGTATTATTAACAAGTTCCGCTTAATACCAATATATAACTACTGCTTTATGCTTTTATCCAGCATATCCAAAAGCAGCGTGCTTACTTTACAGGGACACAAAACTTTCACTCGTTCTAGATAGATTTGATGTAAGATATTACCTGAGAGACTAAGAACTGTAATTATTATTACTTTTGGGACCCCTCCCTCCAACCCGGGTCTTCTGTTCCATGTTTAGAAACTACCGCGTTTATCTTCCGCTTCGTCTGATACGATTGTCCAAGTATCCATGTCATGCCATACCAGCGAAATAATCCCGTTGGGTAAGACATTTAATCTATTTAAATACCTTCTCTACTGCTGCTCATCCGATTCCGCACAGTGCGCTATATACGTTAACATACACCTCCATACCTTTTTATTTCACCTCCTCGTTCTTCCCATCTCCCCCCCCCCCACCTCTCTCTCTCTCCTCAAAAACCAAAAAAATGCGTTTCCTTCTCGCCCTAGCATTCAGCCTAACCCTCAGCACCACAACCGCAAAGTACACCTGCGACACTCGATTCCTAAAAGGCGTAGGAGGTATGTGCAACGAAACAAACCCATCTTACTAAAAGGGACTTTGTTGGCTAAAATGTAAAACGTAGGAGAGTGCAGGGGTGATGGGAATTGCTGCCAATGTGACTCTGGGTCCTCTGGGTTCTTGACTTGTAAAGGTAAGAAAGAGAAAGTCAAGACTGGCAAATTCTTTACGGGATCTAGCTTAGCCTCTAAATGAATCGGGATGAGTTTTTTTGCTGACAGATAATATGTAGAGGATAAAACCTCTACTACAGGTCGCCGGTGTATGATTGATAGATATATTCGGCAATGCGCATAGAAAGTGAAAGAAAGTAGCTGTCGTTGGCCTATTGGATGCTGTAGTAACTCGTATCTCCTTTAACAACATGGGGACGAAGATGCCAATAAATAGACAAAATGTGATAGATAGTATTAGCTCTGTGTTAATAAAACGCTCTGCTGGTTATGTCTCCAAAAGCCTGCTGCGTACATTAAAAAGAAGGTGTCACATGATAGTAATTCTTGTATTAGGTACTTGTAGATATATTCAGAAGTTGTCTAAGGATGCAAAGTCTAAGTACCTGTATTTGTGTCCGTTACAGTTGGTGTTCCGCCACGCATGGATATGCACGTTACTAATCAAATGGCAAAACTCCCAACTTATACACATAGTGTAAGTTTGCTTCACCTCGATATCCACCACCTCACCAAACACTTCGCTTCTTCCTTTCCTATGCTACGCCCATCGAACCCTACAATACCAATCTAGTCTGCATATACAATGTTCGCCATGCTTGACAACAAACTACAACGCTTTCAAAAACGCACCAAAGCTTGACATGAGGGGGGTATCGCCGCATTCCGAACATGCCGTACGGCTGCTGTTGGAAGAAGTAAGAGGGGGCGCTAAGCAAACAAGCAAACAGTGCTAAAAAAACAAAAACTCCGGGGTATAGGATACTTTCTCCCAACCACCAAAAACGCCCAAGTGAGGAAAAATCACTCAAATGATGATTTCCAGAGTTGAGATCGATAGTCGATGCCATACATCGGGAATAAAAGGGGGGAGCCGCTCCTGAACACCGTAACAGGAAAAGGCGCAAAAACGATAAAAAGGCAACTAGTTAGCTAAAATCGGTACTAGTGAATAGGGGTGGTGCGAATCAAGCCAGGATCCGGGGGTGAAATGAAGTGTTGGGGAACAAAAGGCTGTCAATACGACATTGATCGACATGAGGATGCCGTTATTTGCTTGAAAGAAGACTGGATAGGGGAGTCGTTCACTTCAAGGTCGGAGCTCCCGGCAGAAAATGTCCGCTTTGTGAGCGCCTACCTCCAGACAGGTTTGTTTTGTCCTTGGCTTGACTGGCGCCCGCTAATACGACTATCGGTGCGTGCTTCGCCGGCTCTGCTGGCCCTTCCTCCATTCACATTGCCGAGCCTGCTGATCGTACGCCCAGAGGTCGAAGCGGGGCTGGTTTCTGTGGGCTTTGGGGCTGACGAAGGTCGTTGCTTCGAGCTGAACATACCGGTGCGATGATTGGTTGACGAACTGGAAGGCCGAGACGCGCGACGGGCCGCAGGGCTCTCCTCACCACCAGGACTCATACCATCTTGTCTTGCAGTGGTTACGCGGCGGCTTGACCCAGGCGTGGTTGTCTTCGCCTGGGGGGAAGATGCCGGTGTTGACCGAGGCGCCGGCCTGGCATCTCCAGGTGTTTCCGGTGTCTCCATCGGACTCGCCAGAAGTCGTCCCGGGCGCTGCAAGGCAGGGCTGGTCGACGTGGACCTCGCAGACATCGCGGGCGAGAGATTCGAGGAACGGCCTAATGGGCTTCTTACAGGAATGGACGTACGGCTTGAAGAGCTTCGTGCAGATCCACTCGGCGTGTCCTTGTCCTTTCGGAATGGCGATGGTGTGCTCAGAGACAACGGCTTGAAGTTGTGTCCAATGATTGTGTCACGCAGATGCGTATCCGAGTTCCAGCGAGGCTTGGGTCCCGGTTTGTCGGTGGGAGTCTTCACGCGTGCTTGGCTAGCCAATGTGCCAGCTGTGGCGCGAGAAGGTGTAAAGTCCAGACGAGATGAGGGCAGGGACTTGCGAGGAGGAGCAGCTGTGCTTTGCGGCATGCTCGAGTATCGTCGGTTCGCGGGCATCACTGGTTTGGATGACGCGGCACTGGGCTGACGGGGCTTCTTGCCCGACGGGAGAACAGCGGAGCTCGTGGCACTACTCTTGCGGCTCATGATGACGCTTGAAGCGGGAGAGCTGCCTGGTGTGCCCATGTTGGAATGAGCGAACGAGTTTTCGGTGCGAGCAGAGAGGACGGTAGAAACAGAGTCACGAAGCTTGCGTCTGGCAGTAAAGTCTTCCAGGATGGCGTCCATGTTTCCAGTGACTGTCTCAAGATCCTCTACCTTGGACCGTACATCCTGTTGAATGCGCAGAATCTCGCCATTGACGGTAGACCTGTGCTTCATCTCAATGTCGATCAACTCCAGGACACGCCTCATAGACGGCGGGTAGTGGTCTCTCTTGTCTTTGTACGTGGCAATGCGTGAGGCTAGCTTCTCGTCGTCAGTGTCGTCGATGGCTTGCTGTAGTCTCTGTATGCTCTTCATGCATGAATCGTACATGGCGACAGCCTTGCTTCCAGCCTGGCGGAAGCTGTGTACCCACTTATCCTCACCCAGTTCCTCTCGAAGTGCGTCTGCTTCGGCCTCCAACTTCTTCTCCTGGGCCTCGAGCTGCTCCCTCCTGCGGTCCAGCTCGTCACAAGCAGAGGGGAAAATGGTCTTTGCCCTTATTTGAAAAGTACTGAGTCGCATGGGAAGGAAGTCGAGCGATGCACGCAATGGCTGCAGTTTGGCGAAGAGAGCCAGTAGTCGAGAGTTTTCCTGTTCGATCTGAGGGAGCGGCGAAACAGGAGACAGGATGGACAGCGTGGGCATGCTAAACCGCTTGCTGTTGAGAATGGCTTGCTTTCGCGGGATATCCTCGACAATGTTCTCGAGCTCTTTGATGTCGAACTTTTCTGGCGCCTCGGCGACTGAATCTGAGATGACACGATGTCTGCGCTCCTCCATCTCGAATACCAAGCGGCTGAGGTTTTCGACTTCGGCACCAATCTCACCCAAAACATTGTTCCACAGCTCTTCCCACTCCATGGCAATCTCGACTTGGTTCTTGATACCCTTGAGGGTCTGCTTGATCTCACCCCAGCTCATTACAATGTCTTCCATCTGGCTCACGAGGGTGACTTGATCTCTTGTAGGCAGCAGGGCAATGTCTGAGCGCGATTGGAGGTCTTCGATAGCACCGATGTAGACATTGACAAGTCCCTCGAACTTGCTGATTGCGGTGTCAACCTCGGCGAGTCCCTCTCGGCCAGCAGCAGCGGCCCACTCGACATCGTCGTCGGCGTCCAGGCCGCTGAGGACCTCCTTGATCTTGGAGACCCATAGACGGATGTCGTTGGCTGCCTTGTGCAGTGCGCGGGCGGCCTGGGTTGGCGAGGCTAGGGCGGTGATCTCGGAGGCGATGGTGGTAGGCGGCAGCTTCATCGAGGTCAGCTGCTGGATCTGGTTGGTGAAGCTAGCCTTGGAGAGGGTATAGATGGAGCCGGCACGCGGGTAGTGGCGGCGCTGGAAGTAGGACTCGATATCGATGCCATTGTTGTCGTCGAGGACGGAAGCTTCGTCGGGGTCGGCCAGCGGCAGTGGTGGCAGCGGCGGCGAGTCCTGTAGCGGCGGCGAGTCTTTGGGCGGCGGCGTTGGGGGTAGTGTGCGTTCTGCCTGGATGGGCAATGGTGGTAGGAGGGCGGCTACCGTGGATGGTGGTTGTGGTTGTGGTTGTGGTGGTTGCGAGGGGCTGATGATGGGTGCCTCTTGTACTGTTGATGTGGTGGTTGCAGTTGCAGTTGCAGGTGTGGTTGCTGGGGGTGTTGTTGTCGCGCTTGTGATGGGCGATGTCATTGCAGTCGCGACCAGCGTCTGGCCGAGTGCTTTTTCGGGCTTGGTGACGTCGGGCAAGCGATACTTTTGCATGTCGAGCTCACCATCGGCATCCGACTCGGAGGGCAGAACCTTGTCGCTGGTGCTGACGACACTGCTGCGGTCGCTCTCAAAGTCGGGCTCCATGGTGAGAGCTGGCACGCTCCCGCCCGTCGACTGGGGAATGAGGGGCGTGAGGGTGGGCGTCGACTGGCCAGGCCTTGCCGTCCACGCAGTGCCGCGGCGCTCGATGTCGAGGTTGCGGGCTTTGCGGAACTCGTCGAGACGCCGCAGCCGATCCTGCTCGATGCGGCCGACGTCGACGGTGGGCTTGGTAGCGGAGTGGGTGTCGGCGGGCTGGTTGAGGAACTTCATGCGCGCCAGTAGGCCCGGAGAGACATTTCGCGCGAGTTTGGTGGTGCTTTCGAGGTGTGGAGGCGTGGGACGAAGGGGTTTGGGCGATGACGCTGCTGGCGATGGGGCTGATGATGGATTGGGCGGTGTCTTCGCTGGCAGGTCAACGGCAGTCGCGGGGCTGCTGCTGTTGTTCACTCGAGGCGGCGCATCCGGGTGGCTCATCGAGCATTTCTCTGCTTGGACCTCGAGAAGATCTCCAGGTCGCGTTCAGTCGAGGGCGAGGGCTGCGCACGCCGGAGGTGCGCTGGATGCACGGATGCGCTGCACCGGGAGATGAGTCGCTTCTTCGAGGGCTTGGGGAGGTGGCCGGCTCCGACGTCGCGTCAGCCGCCTTCACGCGTTTCTTTTGGTGGTATGTGTATGGACAGGCGGCTGTGTATGTAAGGTATGTATGTAGTACGTAGGCACTAGGCGGCCTGCAGCAGAGGGCGAGAATGCAAATGGGCTTCAGTGTCCTCTGTGCTGTTCCCGCCGCGATAAGACGTCGTATGCAAATGAGCCACGCCTGGACGACACGTTCCCCCAGCAATCAGGACAGTTCACAGCGTCCCGCCTTTGAGACACCGAGTGCCGCTATGCTCAATTTCCGCAAGCAAGCCCCCTGCGCGCAATGCTGTCAATGCGTCCAGCCCCTCCAACTCTGCAACGCTAAAGAGGCGCTCGGTCGGCCGTCGAGCGTGTGCAGTGGCTATATATGCCTTGGATATACGAGCACATGACTTCACTATGCGCCCCAAGCCCGCCTTGTGCACACATATACGACCTGTCAGTATACTACATACACATGTACCCACATTGTACACTTTGTACACAAATGCGCCCCTCCAACCACGTGGACCACACTGCTGCACATCTACTTAGCATGTAGACACGTCTGGACCATTTGGGCCCCGGCCCCCCCTTTTCAGATGACTACTACGATTCTTCCTATGACAACGACAAATACTGTTATTACCAATGATACATCTCCGTATAACCCTACATAGACATTACATAGTACATACACACACACACTCACACACCCTGGCACCACCTTTCATTCTCAACGAGACTCCATTTCATACAACATCTGACTGCAAGCCGCTGATCCAAAAAGGGGGTATCTATCTCAAGTCGCCAGCCATCCAGCGCCCTCTGAGCCGAATGATACTAAGGGAGCCCAGCTTCCATCCAGGGCTTTCTCCCGAAAAGACAAAAGAAATAAAAAGGGTAAACTACACTACTAAGACTTCTGCCAAGAAGGAGTTGAGAGTCTGAAGACGTAATC